TTCTTCTCCTCCTCCTCCTGCTCCTCCTGTTCTCCTCCTCCTCCTTCTCCTCCTCCTCCTTCTCCTCCTCCTCATTTCTAATTGTGCTCGGTTCTGATTGTTCCTGGCCCCCTAGCGGCCAGGAGGAGGCCCAGGATAGAACAGTTAGGAATGAAGGGATCTTGGCCCTTCAAAAGTCAAAGAACTTTCGAAGACTTCGACATGAACAGTGTGTAATGTCTCGAAGCCAAACATTTCGCACAATCCGAAAACACTCCCAAAGACCATGAAGATACTCCCGTCTATGATCCCCAGGTAGCCGGCCGGCCAGCTATGGGCGCGTGATGGCTTCAGCGACCTAGGACAGGCGCAGATTGCCCGCAGGCGCTGGGCACATCCTGTCGTGAGCGAGCGCAGCAAGGCAGCGGCGCGTGGACGAGCCCAGAAGCCCTGAACACGAGCAGGTTGCCGCCTCTTGGATAAAAGGGGGGGGGGGGGCGGCTTTGCTTTCGCCGCCTTCCGCGCCGTGCTTCCGCCGGCGGACCCACCGCCGTGCTGCTTCCGCCGCCCTCCGCCAGCCTCCGCCGAGGAAGCGACGTCATCCCCTCGGACCCCTCGAGGGCGAGGCCTTCTGGAGCGCTCCGTGCGGTCGCGCGGGGAGGGCCCCCGAACGGCCTGCCACGCCGCGCCCAAGGGGAGCAGAGCGCAGAAGCCTTGGCCGCGAGGCCCTCCATGCCGCCCGGCAAGAGGCAGTCGAGGCGGCTCGGCTCCGAGTCGTGGTGGAAGGCGGGCGTGGACGTACTTCCTGTGCACAACCTTCACGTGACTGAGCTCCGCAAACTTTGTCCACGGCATGGTGCAGATAAGTTCGTCCAGTGGTGATCGTGCTGCAGAGCTCGGCCTGCATCGCCACTGAGATCTGTGAGAGGGACGGCTGTGCAACGCGCGGGAAGCCTGTGCAAGGCATAAGGCGATCCAGTAGTGAAGACGGGAGACGGCCTTGACATACTTACCACGATGATGCTGTTCATGCGGGCGAGGGGGAAGCGCGGTGATTCCGCAAACGTCCGAGGGGCCCTGCTTGAGTCGAACTGCCAGCCCTCGCCCTGCAGCACCCTCGGGACTCCCCCGTGCTTGAGGCACGTCGGCGGCACGAAAAAGATCGCCCAATACGATCGCGCACCCGCAGCTCACATTACTATGCGGCCGTTCCTTCATGACGTGGTCGGGGGCTTCAGGAACATTCCGACCTGAAGCTACGCTGAAGAACTTCGGCCCCGCCCAGGACGACACCCGCAGCTGGCGCCACAGAGCACAACGAGGCCAACATCTCCGCGCGCGAGACACATCTTTCCACGCGCTCGCCCGTCGCGCAGAAAGCTTTCTCCAGGACGTCGCAGCACGTGGTCAGGAAGCGAGGCGAGGCACGTGCGCGGGCGAACAAAAAAGAGGGCTGGCCCTCGCCTGCCATGCCAGGCTCAGGGCACACTGGGCGAGTCCCTCTGCACTGCTGCGCCTCCTCCTCCCCCTCCCCCTCCCCCTCGCCTCCTCCTCCTCCCAATTTTCCACAGCCTCCGTCTCCGCCCACTTCGTCGCCGACGTCGTGGTCCTCTTCAGGGTCGGCGGCACCAGCCGTCAGGCCTTCGCAATCACCCGAACATCGGTGGCTGGAGGAGGAGGCGGAGGGGTGTAGCTGTTTACTTGTTCTACCGCCGCCTTCACTTCGTCTGCAACAGCGCATCTGGCCGCTGGAACAGGACTGCTGCAGGCGGCAAGGGGCGGGCCACAGGGGCGAGGACAAGGGAGGGATACATACACATATAGACAGATATATGGGTACATTGATCTATATATATATATATATAGAGAGAGAGATAAAGAGAGAGGGAGACAGAGAGAGAGATAACCAACAAGAAAGAGGTAGAGAGAGAGGCAGAGAGAGAGAGAGAGAAAGAGTGAGAGATGGAAAGCAGACGGCAGAAGAGGGGAATGAGGAGGAAAAGGAGGAACAGGAGGAGGAGGAGGGGGGTGGGGGATGAGGATGAGGACAAGGACGATGAGGAGCGAAGGGGGCCGTGAGTCCTCCACGGTGGTCTGCTGCGACAAGGCCTGCAGAGCTCTCTGCGCCTGGCGCCGGGCTGGTTGGCCCCTACCTTGACGACAGCCCCGGATGATGATGATGATGGTGATGATGAAGATACTGCTCCTGCTGCTGATTATGATGATGATGCTGATGATGAAGATACTGCTGCTGCTGCTGCTGCTGCTGCTTATTATGGTGATGATGATGATTGATATTAATATGATGAAGCTGAAGGTGACGATGAAACTGATGATGATAATGTTGATGATGATGATGATGATGGTGATGATGATGGTAATACTGATCCTGATGATGAAACTGATAGTGGTAATGGTAATCATGATGGTGATGATGCTGATCATACTGACAAATGATGATGACGCTGATGTTGATGTTGATGCTGATGCTGATGCTGATGATGATGGTGATGATGATGATGATGATGATGATGATGATGATGATGATGATGATGATGATGATGATGAGGGTGGTGGTGGTGATGATGACGACGACGATGCTGATACTGATGATGGTGATGTCGAATCTGACGTTGATGATGATAATGCTGCGGATGATGATACTGCTGGTGAGGATGGCGGCGAGGACGGCTGTAAATTCGCCGGCCCACCGGGCCAGAGGCGTGCTAAGATCTCCGGTAACTGCTCAACAATAGTTCTAATTCGCGCGCACGGGACGGGCCTTGGGGGTCCCCGGACGAAAAGTACCCCGGCAAGGTCCCGGCAGACTCCCAGCAAGGTCCTGGCAGACTCCCGGCAGACTCCCGGCAAGGTCCCTTGTCGGAGCCCAGGAGGGCTCGAAACGGTCCAAGAGAGGTCCGAGAAGCCCTCCAGACGTTCCAAGAGAGCCGGGAGACGCCGAAATATCACTCCCAAACGCCTGCGATGGCCTCAAGACGGCTCAACAGGCCTTCAAGACGCCCCAAGAGGTCCCTAAGCGGCGCCCCAAGAGGGCTCCCACAAGCAAAAATCGTCCCATTCCCGCAGGAAGACGTACATTTTTAACATATCCGCCTCTTCGTCTTTCACACCTTTCAAGGCGGTCCAAGAGGCCCCCAAGATCACCCCAAGACGGCCCGACCCTCAAGACCGCTCAAAGACGGCCCACGAGCGCTCCAAGAAGGCCCAATAAACCCTAAGACGGCCCGAGACACCCCCTGGACAGCTCAAAGACGGCCCACGAGCGCTCCAAGAAGGCCCGATAAACCCTCAAAAACTATTTTTCGGAGCCCAGGAGGGCTCCAAATCGGTCCAAGAGGAGCCCGAGAAGCCCTCCAGACGGTACAAGAGAGCCGGGAGACGCCGACATACCATCCCCAAGCGCCTACGATGGCCTCACGACGGCCCAACAGGCCTTCAAGACGCCCCAAGAGGTCCCTAAGCGGCGCCCCAAGAGGGCTCCCACAAGCCAAAATCGCCTCATTCCCTCAGGAAAACGTACATCTTTTACATATCCGCCTCTTCGTCTTTCATAACTTTCAAGGCGGTCCAAGAGGCCCCCAAGATCACCCCAAGACGGCCCGAGACACCCTCTGGACAGCTCAAAGACGGCCCAAGAGCGCTCCAAGAAGGCCCAAGAAACCCTCAAGAACTATTTTTCGGAGCCCAGGAGGGCTCCAAATCGGTCCAAGAGGGGCCCGAGAAGCTTTCCAGACGGTGCAAGAGAGCTGGGAGACGCCGGAATATCACTCCCAAACGCCTACGGTGGCCTCAAGACGGCCCAACAGGCCTTCAAGACGCCCCAAGAGGTCCCTAAGAGGTCCCTAAGCGGCGTCCCAAGAGGGCTCCCACAAGCAAAAATCGTCCCATTCCCTTGGGAAAACGTGCATTCTTAACATATCCGCCTCTTCGTCTTTCACACCTTTCAAGGCGGTCCAAGAGGCCCCCACGATCATCCCAAGACGGCCCGAGAGACCCTCTAGACAGCTCAAAGACGGCCCACGAGCGCTCCAAGAAGGCCCAATAAACCCTCAAGAACTCTTTTTCGGAGCCCAGGAGGGCTCCAAATCGGTCCAAGAGGGGCCCGAGAAGCCCTCCAGACGGTCCAAGAGAGCCGGGAGACGCCGACATACCATCCCCAAGCGCCTACGATGGCCTCAAGACGGCCCAACAGGCCTTCAAGACGCCCCAAGAGGTCCCTAAGCGGCGCCCCAAGAGGGCTCCCACAAGCAAAAATCGTCTCATTCCCTTAGGAAAACGTGCATTTTTACATATCCGCCTCTTCGTCTTTCACACCTTTCAAGGCGGTCCAAGAGGCCCCCAAGATCACCCCAAGACGGCCCGAGAGACCCTCAAGACCGCTCAAAGACGGCCCAAGAGCGCTCCAAGAAGGCCCAAGAAACCCTCAAGACGGTCCAAGAGGCCCCAAGACGGCCCCATGATTGAGGTCCACAGGGGCAACCTGAACGGAAATTTTGAGCCTCCCGCCCAAACACGCCCCCGAAAGGCCCCTACAAGCCCCCAAGTAGCCCCACGAAGCCCCCAAGAGAGCCCCAAGAGGCCCCCAACAGGCTGCAAGAAAGCCCCAAGAGGCCCCCAAGAGACCCCCAGGAAGCTCCCAGGAGGCCCCCAAGAGGCCAGGCAGACCCCCCCCAAGAGACCACCAAGAGGGCCCACCCAGAGCCATCCACGAGGCCTCCCGAAGTTCCCAAGAAGCTCCCACGAAGTTTCCAAGGGCTCCCAAGACCCCACGAGGCCTCCAAGAGCTCCCAAGAAGCTTCCCAGAAGCCTCCAAGGGCTCCCAAGAGGGTCACAAGTACTCCTCCTGAGAAGCTCCTTAAAGCTCCCAGAAGAGACTCCCAGAAGCATCCATGAGCTCTCCGAGATGCCTCCTGCCCAGATCCCCAACACTCAATTTTTCTCGCGTCCCTCACCCTTGGATCCTTCACTGCGTTTTCCTCCAATTCAAGTCTGTTGTGGTGCATCATCACATGCGTGGCGCGCGACCGCCCGTGACGGATGGGTAGCGCGTCCGCGGCGGCGCGGGTCGGGTCTGGCGGGCGGGACAATTCGCCGGCCCAACGGGCCAGAGGCGTGCTAAGACCTCTGGTAACTGCTTAATAATATTTCTAATTCGCGCGCGCGGGGCGGCCCCTGGGGGCCCCGGACGAAAAGTACCCCGGCCGATCCCCGGCCGGGTCCCGGGCGATCTCCAGGCGGGAAGCTATTTTTCGCCACCCCTCACGAGGATCGTGGCCTGCGAGGGGGTGGCTGCAATCGACTACCCCCCCTCCCGCCCCAAGGGCCCCCCAAGAGCCCCTAAGAGGCCCCAGGGGAGCCCAAGACGCCGCCAAGGAGCCCCAAGACGCTCCCAAGAAGCCCCCAAGAGGCCCCCTAAGACGGCCCCAAGAGACCCCAAATAGCGCTCCAGGGCCGGCGGAATGAGCGAAGCGATTAAAGAAGAAAAACAATACTATGAAGATGATGATGTTGCTGCTGATGATGTTGCTGATGTTGGCGATGATGACGGTGCTGGCCGATCACACCTGAGGCGTGAAGTGTAACCTAGCCGATCCCCCTCATGATGACGATGACGATGACGATGACGATGACGATGGTGATGGTGATGGTGGTGGTGATGATGATGATGATGATGATGATGATGATGATGATGATGATGATGATGATGATAGTGATGATGAGGAGAAGGCTGCGGAGGGAGGATGTGAAGAACCGAGGAAATTTGAGGGTCGAGACCTGGGGTCGAAGTTCGAAGCTGTTGGACGATTTTAACTCTTTGTTGGCCTCCAGACCGCCGCTGCTGCCGCGCATCGCCGAGCCAACCGAGCCTGTGTGAGGGGTAACGTTAGGGTGGACCGGCTCAGGGGGGGAACATCGACCTGGGGTCGGCGATACATCGCCGATGGATTGGCGACAGGCCCCCCAGGTCGAAACCGCGCGTTCCTGGGCTGGGCGATCAGGTCCCCTTCGGCGAGCAGCTGGCGATCGGGGGTCGATGCGTGCCCCACGGAGCCCATCCAGCCCTAACGTCGTCCCTGGGCATCGCCGAGCCAGCCGAGCCCGTCCCAGCCGGCTTGCCCAGCGCTGGGGAGAGCGCCGCCCCCGAGGACCCCGGGGGGCGCGCCCGCGGACGGGGTCGAAGCAGCTCCGGCCGGCCAAGCAGAGCGCGGCTGTACGGCCAGCGCGCTCCTCGAGCGAGAGCGGCGCCTTGCCCCGGGGTCGCCCGAAAAGGCCGAGGGGGGGAGAGGGGGGGGGTCGAGAAGGCGGAGATGCCACCAAGCGAGGAAGCAAGCAACGTAGCCAGGCGCCCAGACGGCGCACAGGCAGGAGACGTGGCTCTCTCAGGCGAAAGCTGCGCGAGGCGCTCAGAGTGCTAGAGCCCACCTAGATCGGGTCTGAGTGGATGGGGTCGGAGGATCGCGCCGCAGCGCCGATGCATCGACGTCGTCCGCGGTGCTTCGGCTACACCCGCGCAAAGAAAATCGGGCATGCGAGCCGCATCGGCGATGCATCGGCAATGCGGCGCGATCCTCAAACCACATCTACTCCGACCCCATCTGGGAGGCCAAGAGAATCGTGAAGCCGGGTGCTGGGGCAAGCAGCGCGGGGCCGAGGCACGCCGCCGAGTGGGCGCACGGGAAGATGTACCCAGAGATCTTGGCGTCGCAATCTTGTCATTCAGGGCGATGCCGCCCTGCTTCGGGACCCCGGGGCCCCCTTGAGCAGTGCAACGGGAAGGTCGGGTCTAGGCTTATGGCTATGATTTTCGACGATGTCTCATTTTTGTTCGCGACGTCGACTCTTGGGGCGGGGGGCGCCGTTCGGGGGGAGCTGCAAGTGGAGGGGCCGAAACGCGACCGGCGATCAAACTGCTACCACAAGGGGTGCTACATCCGCCACCGTGCCCTCGAGGCACGAGCTGGAGTGTCCTCAGGTCCCTTGCTCAATCCCCTGGAGCATCAATCCTCAATCTTGAAGACTCTTGAAGGGGCTCAAGGGGCCCAGACCCCAGATTCTCAACTCTTCCGGGGCTCCCCGCGTCCTGCCGCTTGTTTTTTCCGAGCCCAAGACGGCTCCAAAACGTGCCAAGCGAGCCCCAAGAGGCCGCCCAGTCGGTCTAAGAGGGCCCAATATCGCCGATCGATCGATCCAAGACGCCCAAGATGGCCCCAAGACGGCCCCAAATGGCCCCCAAGAGGCCCCCCAAGAAGGTGTGCAAAAGCACACATTATTGATTGTCCTATTTTCTTTGAAAGATTTTGTCGATCTCGCGTTTCCGGCTTCCAGACGCTCCAAGACGGCACAAAAGGACACCAAGATCGCCCTGCGACGGCCCTTAAGGCTTCTAAGGGGGCCCAGCACGGTCCAAGAGGCCTCTAAGACGGCCCACGAGGCCCCCAAGAAGGCTCCAAGAAGGGGCCCAGACGGGGGACCCGAACGTACATTCGAGCCCCCGGCACGGAGAGGCTCCGAGGAGGCCTCAAGAGCCCCAGGCTCCAAGAGGCCCCCAAGAGGCCTTCAGGAAGCCCCAAAAGGTCCCCAAGAGGCTCCAAAGAGGCCTCCAAGAGGCCCCCAAGAAACCCCAAACTGCCCGCAAGAGGCCCCCGGGAGTGCTCCGAATAGACCCCAAGAAACATCCCTGAGGAGCCTGACCCACAACCCAAGCACGGTGGCGGGGTGGGCCGAATGCCATTCGATAAGAAACGAAGCCCTCTTTGACTGCAAGCGCAGGGCCTCCGACACCTTGCAGTCCGCGTCGTCCGCCAACTTCGCCCTCTCCTTGGCCAGCGCGTCGCAGCGGAACACCCGCGTCTCCGCCTGGGCGCGGCCAGGGCAGCGTCGGCCGGGGGATGCGGGCGAGGGCGGCGGCGGGCGAGGGCGACGGCGAGGGCGACGGCCGTGCGGGCGGCGAGGGCGACGGCGGCGGCGGCGAGGGCGGCGGCGACGGCGGCAAGGGCGGGCCTGGCTGCGTCCGAAGCAACTGCCAGAAACTCTGCTCGCTCGGAGCGCCATGCGCTCTGTGTTCTTCGGCATCCGCTACGTTTTTCTTCAGCTCCACCGTCCTCCTCCTGCCCCATCCTCCTTTCAGCTCCTCCAAATCGCGCGCCTTTCTCTATATGTATGCATGTATGTACGAATGCGTGTACATCTCCCAGTCTCTGTATCAATGTAGGTGTGCATACATATATCGATCTATGTATATACATGCGCCGTTGTATAGTATATAAACACATGTGTATGTGTATATGTTTGTGTATATGTCTACACTTGTGTCTATGTATGTACATGTATGTATGCATGTGTGCCTACGTGTGTATGTACACGTATCTATCTATACGTGTGGTAATTCACGGTCCTGGGTGTATGGCTGCTATGGGCCTCCGCGGTGCGGATTATTGCTGTCGTTGAATTTTCATTTCTAAAGATTGATTATTATTGATCCCGTCTCCCCGCTAAACATTACATTTTCAACTTAAGTGCTTCTCCCAGGGGCTCGAACCCTGCTTTTTACTAAGGAAAGCGGGGTGTTACCAAATTGTGTTGCTGGCCCCCGGTTCACAACAAACAACAACTCCCTCCTGACACTTCCTCACGATTCATTCCCAATCGCGCTCTCGCGCGATTTCCTCACAACTAATACAGGAATCGCGCTCTCGCGTGGGAGTTCCTCGCAATTTATTCAAACGCAGCGCCCTCGACACTCAAGAATCACGCTCTCGCTGTGGATTTCCTCACAATTCATGTGGGAATCGCGCCTTCACTCGAGACTTCCTCGCGATTCATGCACGGCGCACGCTTGAGCAACTGGCCTGCTCGACCTGGCCGCCTGGGCCCGCCTTCCCGACCCGCCTGTTAGGGTCTACCCGCCCGATCTGCTCGTCTGGTTCTGCCACGCGTTTTCTGCTCCTAGCCCCACTCTTGCTACTCTCTCTCTCGTGCTCCATCCTCCTCCCTCCCTTTTGTCCCTTCCTTCCATCCGTTCTCTCCTGTCTTAGGGGCAGCACGAAGTACACGTTGCAGGTAAGACCGATATCCCCGCAACGGGGGTTCGATCGAAAACGAAGAAGGCGGGTGTCGAGGATTTGGAGTAGACGTGTTGAATGGCACGCGAGCGCATAAGAATGAACAATCTGAAAATGACTGTTGCTGATGTGGTTGCTGTTGTTGTTGTTGTTGTTGTTGATGTTGTTGTTGTTGATGTCGTCGTCGTCGTCGTCGTCGTCGTCGTTGTTGTTGTTGTTGTTGTTGTTGTTGTTGTTGTTTTCTCATTGCTGAAAAACTGTTGCTGATCCTTCCTCCGGTAACACTTCTGTTTTTTCAATTGAAATACCCCTCCTGGGGCTCGCACCCGGTTTTTCATCAGGGAAAACATTTCTCCTCAAACTGTGCCCGTGGCGCCTGGTTTACAAACGGCTCCCGCATGATACTTCCTCGCAATCTACAGAGGAATCGCGCTCTCGCCTGTGACTTCCTCGCAATTTATTCACGCGCCACGCCCTCGCTATTCAGGAATCGCGCTCTCGCCTGGGACTTCCTCAGAATTTACTTTAGAATCGCGCTGTCGCCCGAGAATTCCGGGCGACATATGCAGGACTCACGCGTTCGCACAACATACGTGTTTGTTGATTGAAGTGCCCCTCCTAGGGCTCGCTGTATTTTTACTGGGAAAAGTCTTCCTCCTCAAACTGTGCCCCTGGCTGGCCCCTGGTTTACAACAACAGCTGCTCCCGCCTGATATTTCCCCACAGTTTATTCCCCAATCGCGCTCTCGCGAGAGACTTCCTTAGAATTTCATGCAGGAATCACGCTTTCGCGTGGGACATCCCTGCAATTGATTCAGGCGCTACGCCCTCGACACTCAGGAATCACGCTCTCGCTGTGGAATTCTTAAAAATCTATTAGGGACTCGCGCTATCGCTCGAGACTTCCTCGCGACTCATGCAAGACGCACGCTTTAGCAACCCGCCTGCTCGACCTGGCCGTCTCGACCCGCTTTCCGACCCACCCGTTAGGGTCTACCCGCACGATCTGCCCGTCTCGTCCTGCCACGTGCTTTCTGCTCCTAAGCCCCCTCCTGCTGTTGTCTCTCGTGCTCCATCCTCTTCCTTACCCCTTCCTCTATGTCCCTGCCGTAGGGGCTGCACGAAATACGCACGTTGCAGACAAGGAAGATACACCCCGAAGAGGGTACGATCGAAAACGAAGAGGGCGGGTATCGAGGGTTTG